ACAAAAGCATTTTCAGGCACTAACAAACTTTTAGGAACCTTCATGGTATTTTTGGTGGGGACGAAGAAGTCGTTGCAGTATCCGGAACCTGGGGATGCACCAACTTTACAGAAACGAAACCGACAAGAGCAATAATATTTTGACCAAAGATTTCCAAGTTTCAAATTCCAAAGATATTAAGTACCGTAAGTGAAAACATAAAGGATATATTGAAAGCAGTTTTTAATTATAAACTCGCTCGTGAAGAATCAACAACACACACGCAGTTATTAAAGTACATCACAGTAAAACGCAAATCTGGTTTAAAGTGCACCTTTAAGAAAAACAAAACAAATTCCATTCACTGAAATCTGTGCTTGAACTGCTGCAAACCAGTGACGGAGTTCTGCCCAAAAGTCATGGCGGAAGACATTGTTGTTCCAGGATCAATATTGTTCCTTCCTGATCCAGAAATACCCGTCTGTATCGCTGTAGTCGCTATGGGATGTGATATCTGACTATGAGTGCCGCTACCATAGTCGGTATTCATACGAACTTTCTTCATCGGCGGTTGCTGATCCATTGATACTGTTGAAAGAGTGGCCACAGGAGGCTTAAATAATGAACACATTAGCAGAATAATCAATGAAGATAGTTACGGTTTACTGACCAAAATATACGGCTATAACAATATACAACAACTCTAAAACAATATAATGAAATATATCGTCTGAATAACAGTGCATGCTAACTACGTTAAAAAGCAGTCACAGGAAAAAACTGAACTCAGCATATTTTTTAACTGTTATCTGATCATGGTGTTTCTAGACCTGGAGAAAACTTTTGACCGAATCCGGAGGAAAACAATCTGGTGGAATACGAGAGAAAAAACTTGTGCCAGAGAAACATGCCAGGTTTACCAAAGACATGTCCGACAGAGTGACAGCGAGAACTGGAAGCACACGCGGTGAAACGGAATAGTTCTCTGTGCGTGTAAGAGTCCATCAAGGATCCGCACTGAGTCCATCTCTATTCTCGATAGCGACAGACGCATTAACTGAGGATCAGCAGAAAGCAGCCCCATACCGCATGTTCTATGCTGGTGACTTTGTGCTATGCAGCAAAAACAGAGAAGCTGTAGAATCAAAAACCGAGGCATAGAGAACAGCTCTTGAGAAGGACGGCCTTCGACTCAACAAAGGAAAGTCAGAACATAATGCGGGCTATTTCAGTCAGAAAAACAGCTTGAAAGCCGTCAAATCAGTGACAGTAGCAGGGAGCATTGTTGCCTCAAACCAAAGAATTCAACTGCCTTGGTTCCATCCTGCAAGATAATGAGGAAATCGACAGCCTGGAAAGAAATCGGCTGAGGAAATCTTGGCTCAAATGGAGAACAGTGAGCGGTGTGCTGAGCGATAAGGTGTCCATCAGACTGATAGGGAAGATGTACATAAGGATAGTAACACTGTGTTTCTGTACGGATCGGAATGTTTGGCTATTATGAAGATATATGAGCAACAGCTGAACTCGGAAGAAATGCGCATGCTCAGATAGATAAGTAGTGTCAGAAGAAAGGATCACGTCCGTACAGCTCCGTAAGGGCCACTCTACAATTTCAGGAAAGCGGATCGAAAGCAGGCTCCGTTGGTTCGGTCACGTAGAAAGAAGACCCACCGAGTAGGTTGAAAATGTGGCCCAAGCAGTGATACTGCGGATGAAGAAAAAAGAGCAAAACCGAAGAAAAGGTGGTGCGCTGTCGTCAAGAATGATATGAAACTGCGAGGAGTATCTGCGGATCTAACAAGTGACAAAAAAATGTTGAGGAATTTGACTCAATTAGCGGGCCCCAGTTAAAGGGAACATGCTAGGAAAAGGAAGAAGATCTGAAAATCA